GAAGAAGGGTAAGGCGGTCAAGGAGATCCTCGAGAGGCTAAAGCTGGATAGCGGCAAGAAGAATGTTGTAGACGAGCACGCCAGGGACAGCGAGAGGATGTGGCCACGAGAGGTGGAGCTGATCAAAGCCTTGAAGCCCGAGGAGGTCGTCAACAGCATACCAGTGGGAAAGGTCCGTGTGATGATGTCAGGAGGCGGCGGAGGCTCTAGTGGTGGAGGCGGGAAAGGTTCTGGGGGAGGAAAGGGCGGTGGAAGGGGAGGTGGCGGGAAAGGAAGGGGTGGAAAGGGTTCAAAGAAATAACCTCTCCTTGGAAGTGAGTGGGAGGATTATATATTCCAGTCTTTGGAGGCTATCGAACAACAACAAAAAAGAAGCTCCTCGGTCAAAAAGAGACATCTCATCAAGTACGTGCAGCAGAAATCATTAACATGTATTGAATGGCTAACTAGCTCGTAGATTCATAAACTCGTTATATGTCGACCGTTACCTGGAACTAACTGCAACCTTCTCAAACCTCCGGACATCATTCGGAACCCTGGCAATGCAGAGCTCTTGACAGAACAGACCCCAGTGGCCAGAAGTCGCTTCTTTTACAGCATCTTGGAGTGACCTGTTGTACCGCGATCTATATGCGTGGCGCACAGCAGCCATGTGCGTCGCATCCCAGTGCAGACGTACCAAGCGTGAAGTGAGTAGCTCGTGTCTAAGCTCATCCTTTCGGGAGGCAGTGAGCGCATGGTGTAGAAGAAGTGCATCACGCACAGGACGGTTGATCACGCCATTCAGGATATGAGCCAGGAGCTCGCCCTAAATGAAGAGGTATGTCAGTAAAATAAACCACGGGGGGGTAGCAAAGAGTCCCAAGAAACAAGAAAGGTTCAGCATACCACAAGGTTGCCACTCTTCTTGAGAGCATCGCGGGCAAAATTGGCGCGGTACCGATGGTCGTACTCGTTCAAGATCTCGCGGAGGTGGGAATCACTTCTTGTCACGACAACCGAAATCATCAAGCTTTCGCCTCCCTTCTCTGCTTTGATGGCTTTGCGTAGGGCTTCCACGTCGTCGTCGACCAGTTGCATGTCGACGGGTACTCTACGGCCGTGAGAGTCATATTCATCCATCCTGCGTTCATCAAGCACCATCATGACCGCCTTCTTAAATTTGTCTTCCCTGAGCTCCTCCCTCATACATTTGGTAAGACTGTCGTCGTACTTTTTATCAGTGAAGGCATCCTTGATGTAGCGAATCTCATCGTTGGTTCGACCCATGAGTGACTCAATGAGCAGTTCTCGGCGCGTCTTGTCACCATGGTACCAGAAGTTGGCCCAGTAGGCTTCGCTCTCCCACATGCCCAGTGCCACTGCGTAGCAGGCCTTCATGAGGTTGGGGTTCTCATCTTTAAGGCGGGCTCGGATGTGCTTTGCGATATTAACGCCTTTCCGATGGGATCCCGTCTTGACCAATTGCTTGTACTGAACACGAAGCTCCATCACTTGCTCGTGGGTCATGCTGGGAAGGATCTCGATGAGTGGTTCCCTGTCTGGAGCTCCGTCGCCCCTGAGGGCCTTCGCCAGACGCTCAGCGCTGTCTTCAGCGCAATGGAATCGAGCCCGTCGGTTGCGTCTCCTTTCTGCGTCATCATCTGATGCGATAGGCGAGAGCGGTTCAACGTCAGATGGGTGGCCGGTCGGCAAAAGAAGAGGCGATGGCATAGGCGAGGACTGTTGGTAGGTACCACGGTATGCTTCAAGCAGCGGCGATGCTCCGCCCGACATGGCCAAGCCAGCAACACCTAAAGTGGCGGCTCCTGTGCCAAGTGTCAACTTGGACATTCGAGAGGATGGCGCCGGAGACTTGTCGTGGCGACTGCTCTTCTTATCGCTGGTTCTCTCCTTCGACCTGCTCCTCGACCTGGATCTATGCCTCGATCTGTGCTTTGACCTATCTCTCGACCTGTCTCTTGATTTGTCTCTTGACCTGTCGCTTGACCTGTCCCTGGACTTGTCCCTGCGGTGACCATCCACCGTGAGGAAACCACGATCTCGAGACTTGTCTCGCTTGCGTTCATGAGACCGGTCTCGGTCTCTGCTGCTTCGCGGCGGCTCCACAGTATACACATTAGGCTGAGAGCTTCGAGGACCTTCCCCGTGGAAGGAGTCTCGATGGGATCTCCTTGAATCAGCCTGACTGGCGGCCGGGCTTGTAGGTCGGTACCAACGCGGGTCGTCGTGTCCGGGGTGAAGAGATGACTGAGGCCTGTCTCCCACCTGCGACGACGAACCAGGCACGTAAGATGATCCGAGGCCGGCTGCAGCAGCTTCCTGCGGAGGCAACTTTCCATAGGCCAGGTCCTCCTCCAGCTGCTCCTTCTTCATCTTGTGACGGTCCTTTTGATCGGAAATGTACGACTTCATAGACTGCCCCGGGTGTTCCAGATACTTGGACGCGTCGAACTTGTGCGAGCTGCTGCTGGGGCTCCGGCCGTCGGGCGCGTGACCCTGCAAGCGACGCTTCTCGTCCTCGCCGGCGTTGGAGCTGTACTTCTGGGGCAGGAAGCTGAACTTGTCGTCCTTGGCCTTTTTGGAATCACTCGCTTCGGGCCTGGGCTCCTTGTCATTGGGCTTGCCGTACTTTTGCGGCAGGAAGCTGCTGAATCTATCGGCATCGGCGGCGGAGCCGTACTGGGAACGGCGGTCACTTTTGGACTTGTCGCTCTTCGACGCGGGCGGCTCGACGGTCTGGATATGCGGATCGAACTGGTGCCCGTCGCTCGGGAATGCGCCAGGTGGCTGGCTCGTGGCCTGGTCACGCGAGCTCCCGCTGTAGACGGGACCCGAAGTCGGAGCCGAGGTGTAGGGAGGCATAGACGGGTCGTAGCCGTAGTGAGTTCCCGGGACCATTTCTGACAGTCCTCCTTCGGTTGGGTATGGTAGGCCGCTCCCGTTGGGGGCGGGAGGGCCTACGTCACTTCGGCTCCTGGACCTCTGGTAGCTGGAGTCGTCACCGGGATAGACGTAGCTTGTCGAGTCTGATGGGCCTCTGTCGTCTCTTTTGCGATCATCTCGAGATCGGGACCTCGAGTGACCCCGACGGTACTCGCTGTCGACATTCAGCGACATGGCAATTGTGCTGCTTTACTGCCCTCTTGCTCCGTGGTAAAAATATGGTGATTTTTTTTTTCCCTTGGTTAGCTGGGGGGCGGGGTCGGTTTTGCTTCTTGGGGGAGGGTCGGCTCAGCTCCCGACAAGGAACAGCTCTCAATTGGCGGCGTTCCGCTTGGCAAAACGTAGGGAGAGATGGCGGGGATGCAGCTGGAACGAAGGTCGAGTCAGGAGGGAGAGGGAGAGGTAGCACAGCAGGAAGAGAAGTTGGTCACCAGGCCGTCTGTCTCATCGACCATCTGGCGTTGACCAATGCGCAGACAGACGAGCGGAGGGAGTAGGTAAGAGGCGCTAAGGCAAGGCCTAGCTGCAAGCTACAGGGCTCCATGGGTTCCTCAGCGCCTGAGCCCGCGGCGGCCGGGGGGCTGGGAACATCACCTAGTCTCTCCACCGACCAACAGGGTGGCGTCACTCCAGTGCTCCCTGGGAGCTACCTGGGACCTGCCTAAGGCCTCGCAGTGCCTGGCTAACTAGTAGTGTTCTGCCGTCTGATTAGTGTATCCATCACCAAGCCCGTCTTGCCCAGCCAAGTGGGTGACATTGAAATTGAGACACTCAAACATTAAGCTGCTTATTTTCAAGTCTGCGATCGGTATTATCAGATTATTGAGTGTTAATAATATATACCACAGAGATAATATAGCGGATATTACTACTTTATTTCATTTTATACTACTAGATTTCTCTATTAATTATAGAAAGCAGTCTGTTTATCACTGACTCTTCCATTAGGTGTCTCATTTCTCCTGTCACCCACTTGCCAGCATGATGACTGCATGGAAATGTGGGCTAGTCTACCGGTGTGATAAGCCGCTGCCTAGCCCCGACGAGGCAGCTGAAGTGGTTCGCTTTGCCTTGCAGCAAAACGTGCCGGTCGCGAATCATGATACCTAAACGGGCACCGCAGTACCATGATTCCACCGCGTAGGAGTCCGGATCCCGACTCTATGGCACACAGAACAGAGCGGGTGCTGGAATGCAAATGGCGGGAGGCCGTATCCACCCCGTACCGTTGGGACAGAATCGGCCTGACTGGAACTCTTCTTGTCCTTCTATCCAGAAAGCGCCCTGGTCTCTGGAGTTGGCCGGTTTCATGGCTGCACAATCCAGTTTTCCCTGCATAAAGCCCTCCCAACAGGCCCCATTAACGCCGACCTCACCCCACTTTGGGCCCTTCTCACACATCACCAGCTACCTACCTTGTGCTTATTCTTCTTAACACACTGCTCGCCTTTGGCGGGATTCTGTTGGCATGAATCGTTCACCGGTCCTCATCAAATGTTCATCCTGTCGACAAGGCGTGGCCAGAATGCATTGAAGGCGGGCATTGCATCTTCTCCTATCCGTAGCCTCACGTACACAAGACATGCCATCATGGTAAAAGGAACACCACGTATGCTCAGCTTCGAAGCTACGTGTAGGTAGACGATTAGGCTGAGAACCTGGCCAGCTGGTATTACTGGCAGATATCATGTGAGAATTAACTAGATAGGCCACATCCAGCCAGTTAGGCGCTTTGGCAGCCATCATTAACAGCTATACTATACCCCATGTATCACCACCATCACAAACCCAAAATAATGCAAACGCTGTTAGCATCACAGCCAAAACTCCGTACACATATTATCTCCGTCTCCACCACCTCATCTTCCCCCAAACGCCGATCCGTGTAACTGAATAGGTTGAAAAGAAAAGCTGGAAAGGGCCGTGCAATGGCTCTCATGAGAGAGGATGCATGTCCGAATGATATCAAGACAAGAGCTGCAACCCTCGTGAAAACGTACCAGACTCTAAATCGAGCTTGTCCGACGCGAGGTTGACCTCCAAGCAATAGGTATCTAGCCCAAATGCAGCGGTTCCGCTTGCTCGCACGTAAATAGATTGATATGGTGATCACCTTGAGACGCACATCCCAGAATTGGCCGGTGAGGATGGAATGCAGTAGCAGAGATGGGAGAGCCGCGGTTCTGGTGCAAAAAGCTCGAGTATGGCTCAAGCCGGGAGAGTGGTCGTCCATCAAGGTTGAAAACCTTCACTTCATGAGCAGATGTTCCCCTATTCTCAAATGTTAGCCTTTGCAATAGGGAAAAGAACTCGCCAGTTCAAAGTAAATGGGGACTTACACTGCAAATACCGGGAGGTGCTCATGCGTGCTGGCGGTTCGCAGGGTGTCCCGTGTAACCTGGAAAGAGTGCAATGGCTTATCCATGCGGATATCCCACACTTTGACCTTGCCGTTGCGGCTGGCACTCAGCAGCTCTCGCTGGCCTCCTCGCTGCATGTGGACGCTCTTGATCCATTGTCGATCATTTTCATCTTTCCATTTCCTGATCATGGATTCTTGCGGTCTGCAGCGCGTATCGAATACTCGGACAGCGCCGTCACCAAATCCGGCCACGAAGAGATTTCCAGTCATTTGATCCGACGTCAACGACGTGACACAGGATCCGGATCTTGCTGGAATATCCATCACGCATGTCTCATGAGCGGCGTACCATACACGGATCACTCGGACGTCCCCGGCGACCAGAACTCGTCCCGTCACCTGTTGCCAATCAAACACCATACCTGAGTTGACATTACTAGGGATCATATGTGTCAGGGCGCGCCATGCTGATGCGAGCTGGATGTTTTGATCGCTGTCATAGTTCCGGTATACTCGGATAACGCCGTCAGAGGATCCGGTGAGCAGTATTGCTTGGTCATCTTCGTTGATAAACTTCATGTCACTGATCTTAGACCCTGAGGGGTTCCCATTGCTGAACCGACTCAGCCGGCCTTGTTTCTTCCAATCCCAAATGTTCACAGTATTTCCATCGTCGGATACTGCCAAATGGTCCTCGAACTGATGGAACGTCATTTTAGCCGGCTGGGCCCCATTGTTAACGATACCAAGCTGATTGTTCCACCTGTGGCTGCCTGCGAACTGTTTCAAAGGCTGTGTTTCCCTCAGAATTGTCTCGTTTCGCGAACGCCTCCACAAACGTTCATTGTATTCCGTACTTCCTGGCTCATCTGCCTCACTAGGTTTCATCTGAGGTTCTCGGAAATACTCGATCGCCCAATCCAGGAAACCGCTGGACAGAGGTAATGAAGGCTCCTCAGACAGGTCTCGTGTCTCGAATGCCCCGGAGAGGGGTTCGGGGGCAGCGTTGTAGGTTGCGTGACCATTGACATAATCATTCTGCTCTGGTGGGGTGGAAAATTGAACAGATGAGGGTGATCTGGGAGGGCCTCCCCCGCTAATCGAGGAGGGCGTCGTTGGTCTTGGCTTCTCCTCTCCACTGATCAACGATGGGAAGAGCAAGCTTGCGGTTCTACGCAAGAGACCTGGCGATGGAGGGGGGGCCGTGCTGGTCGCACCCATGAGACCGATCCGCTGGCTTGAGCTGGCGGCCTGATGACTTGCTGCCTTTTGGGCGTACTTCTGGATTTCTGCCATCAGGCCTTGTGCCGGTGCTCCAACACTGGAATTGATCAAGGCGTTGTGCATATAATCCACAATGATAGCCGCAAAATTTTGAACCTCCGGGTGCGGGTCTACGCTGAGGATCAACACGTGCTTCCAACAAGCCATGAACACGGTGTTGTGAGAAAGACCGTAGGCAGTGGACTTGATGGTGCCATCTTGGTTACGACTGTCTGGCCTGACGTAGTGAAGTCCCATCTTGTGATCATGCCCATCATCCTGGGGAGGGAACATGAGATAATCCTTCTCCTCGACCAGATGATCATATGCTGCCACAAGGAACTTGTTCTCAAATCTCACAACAAAGTGGGATAGGAAGACAAGAAATTCCTTACGAACCACAGGGCTTCCATCATTGCCCATCTCCAAAATCGTCCATGCGACCGATTCCTCTATGCGGGCAACTTCTTCGGTCAAGTCTGGAATGCCGAGGAATGTTGTCATGGCATGAATCATGGCCGCTCGTACTTCACTGCAAGGATCTTTTCTCAGGAATGCCAGTTTCATGTACGCGTTTTCTCGGATCCCCCTCCATTTGGCTTCGGGGAGGCCTTGCCAGAGTTGACTAAGGCAAAGACACGCCCATTGCCTCAACAACGGATTGCCTTCATTCTGAAGATGCTCAAGGCAGTAGGTCATAATATCAGTTTGGTTGCAGACCATTTGGCCATTCTTGTAGTCCTTGCATAGCATAGATAAGATGAATGCGCACATGGCCTTGTGCTCGTCGCCATCCACCACCGGCAGTACTTCTGATGGCTTGAGAATTTGGGCAAAATAGCTGTACCCGCTATCCTTGATGAGGTCAGTTTGGCAAGAAATATCAACAGCTATCAATCTTGCCCAGATAAAGACCATGACTGGTTTCAATTCAACTGCTGCTGATTGCAACAGCTTCAGGACATATGGGAAGATCCCGATGCTGAGGGCAAGCTGCACAGACCAGGGTCCTAAATCTAGGAATCTTCCCAGGAGAATCAGAGCCCGTACCCTATGCTGCTGGCTTAAGAGGACCTGGAGAACAACAGGCAATTGGTCTGGCGGCCTCTGAGCAAGAGCGTCGCCTCTTGTAAGATACACCTCAAAGGCGGTAAGTTGTTCGGTGAAAAAGGTCGAGTTCTGGTACTCGTACTCGATGCTCTCATTCTCCTTGCGCTCAAGCATGGGCAACTGGGCCAGTGCCATATCTACGGCGAGGTCCCAGGTCTCCCAAAGGGGGTGTTGATGCGTATCCGGTAGCGCTGGGTAAGACTGCGGGTGACAGCCGTATACCATCATGACTCTCTGGGCCAGAAGAAAGTTTCGGAAGAGTGCGGCGACCATCAGATCTTGCCGGAAGAATTTTCGAAAAACGTCCCGGGGCAAGGATGTCCACGCGATGCTGTCTGTGATGGCGGTGAATATCCAGTTCAACTCGCCCAGTGGAGTTCGCCTCTCCTGCAGTCTTCCGGGAAGCTTCTTTGCTCTCTCAGGCGTCAAGTTGGTTTTAAGGGGGTTCTGTAGAACAAAGAACCACAATGCCATCTCGATGGGGGTAGTCAAGCAGGAGGTGAACAGATCAGCCGGTAACAAGGGGTTAGTGGGGAGGTTTTCCTTCACAGCGCACGCTGCCAGGTGTATATACGGCCTGAAACTAGTCTTCTCGTAGCCAGAGTTCTCCTCTGCCGCCTTGTCCTCCTCCTCCTCGTGCTTCTCGACAAATCGGTGGTAGTTGTTGAGAATATTGCCTGCCTCGGAGCAATCCCACACGCAGATAGTGGGCGCCTGCAGCCAGTGTTGCAAGTCATAAAGCGATACAGGAATGTATTGGGTGTAGTTCTTATTAAACACCCAAATTTCACCAGAGGAAGTGGGCTTTGGCACACCGTGTCCGTTGTAATGAAGCAGTACTCGCTCGTCCTTGGCATTGCGTCGCAGAGATATGCAAAACTTCTTCGTTTCTTCCACCGATGGATCAAGATACTGCTTGTAGCGGGCACGTATTGCCAGGGTTTCATACTGGGCTTGGAGAGCCTTGCCGATATTTTCAAGTGCTTTCTGAACTGGCGGTACGGTCGGGTCTGTCCAAGCCTCTAGCTTGGCGCCAGGGTTTGTTTTGAGTTGATCAGGAGGCTCAACTCCAATATTAAGGCACACAGCCAGGGCGGCAGATACGGTTTTTAGCCGATCTCTCTGCCGCCAGTCCTGCAACTCATACTGTGGGGGTTTGGGCTTGCCCGTTGTTTCATGGCGTTTATCTGTGAAGTACATGTACCAATTCTATTGCACAAGATTAGATGATGACCCTAATACCAGCATCTCGAGAAGGGATAGAAGGAGAGAGGGTTGCGAGAAGAGCACACATACATTGGCAAGCTGTGAGATTATATGCTCCGATTGGTAATGGTCTTCAAACCCATGGCGCGTTCCCCATTCGGATATGACCTCTTCGATGTGCTCGGTATCGTCAGTTGGGCGAGGACCAAACTCGCTTTTCGATCTGTGTAATCCTGGTTTGTTCGGTCGAGCTGATTTATCTATCCCATTTCGGTCGCGTGCCTGGGCAGAAGCAGATTGGTCTCCTTGGTCGGGCGCACTGCTAGGTCGGCGGTCGTCATCGTCGTTGGAACTCGCATCGTAGTCTATTCCGCCGTTCGGCACAGATCGAAACCGCGACGTCTCGCCATTGGCAGTGGGCGTGGTGCGATGCCCGTTCGGCTCCAGCATGTTTGGCGCCATCTTGCGGCCAATCCCATATATTGCTGCTCGCTGTCCGCCCTGTTGCTCGTGACGTAACGCCTGCGATGACTGCTGTGCGCCGGACTGAAACGATGGCAAGCTGGAGGAGTCTGCCTTCGCTTGAGCGTGCGCTGGTGGGGGGGGCGTATGCGTCGACGCGACAGTCATGATCTCACCCCAGGCATAAAGCGGTCGATCATCCCGAGACGAGCGGTGCGGCGAAACTCGAGAACGGATGGTACTCACCACATGCCTATATGCGGAATGTGACGACGTGGATACCAGGTGATGGTAATGCTGGTGAAACTGATGAGTGGGCGAGCTATACTGTCTTGCGAGAAATGGGGGCACGCAGGTGGATCGATGGATCGATGGATGAGCTTGGGCGGCTGGAGGTCTGTTGTGGGGGCGATGTTGGAGTTGAAGTTCCCAAGCCGAAAGTTTAGCAGCCTTGTGATTCGCCCAAAGGGAGAGGCACCAGGGTACTACCTGCCTTAGTTCCGAAGTTGCCTGCCGGAAGGGTGACTTTAACCATAACACACCTAATCCGTCCACATTGTTCTGGGACATGTATAAAAAGGAGGGGTAGTGAGTTTCCCAACTCAGGAAACAAAAATCAAGTTAACTTGTAGCATTGCATTATGTAGCTACTGAATATCGTGGCCAGTATGTCAGTCAATGACTGCTAGCCCGTGGCCTAAGTACCAACAGAAGTGGTAAGCTTTTATGTCACCCTTTCGCCTTTTAGTGCTCTTCATCCGGCGGGGCAAGGCATCAGCACATGCACCCATCATATGCATCTACCTAGGTAGGTAGTCAATGCTTTGGCGCGCACACATTGCAACAGTCTATGTCGTTTCAATTGCCGAGTGACTGCTGAGGGGGCGACGGGGAATGGTCCATCCGCTGTTCATGTCTGTGTATTCCCACTCACCGACCCGTTCATTACCCACCAGAATATGTCAAACAATCAATAAGACTTCATCGAGGGCCGACGTGAGATAAACACCATCCTAGGGGTCGTAACCCATTTTCTGTGCGATGCATCTCGTCAGATTATGGTCTTTGCTCCCGTCCAGATGCCTTGGTCCTGTTCCTCTCTACAGTTGGTCCGGCTAACTCTTCATAGGCCTGGGCATATTTGTTAGATTACGTAGCCAAGTACTTGGATATGTAGCAATACGTTGCGCAGGGTTGTACAGAATATTGCATTCATAACGGTCTACGGAATAAATACCGACCTTCGAGTCAACCCATGACGTACGGCAAAATAAAAGCCAGCAACAACTTGTCCGAATGTCTCTCTTGCGACTATATCAGACAGAAAAGTTAAACTGGTATAGGGTAACCGCTCCAAATACCCTTCACGTGTCGCGTTTGGGGAAAGATCAATCGGAGGCAAAATGCATGCACCAGACAAAGTTATTTTGGCAGGACCCGCACACGTCTCATTTCCCAGCCATGTGCGCGACTGTGTGCCCAACTGTGCGCACTTGTGATATCAGAGGTTTGTAGTCTGTACAAGTCAGACCTTAGTTTCGTCATTCTGGTCGCTCCAGAGGTGTCGCCGAGTATCAAGCATGAGTGTTGCCAACCGGCACTGTATTGAACGGCACACCGGAATGCAATTGAGTAATGGACGTCGTGCTGGGCTATGCTTACATGTTCACTCACTGGGATGATTCCTGCGGCATTCAAAAAATCGGTACGGTCCGCGAGTCGAATATTCACCACACAGGAAATTGCCAGCCACTCTGAAACAGGCTAATAGCGGGAAATGGGGCCAGCCCACCGGGGTTCATGGTGGGATGTCAACTTTGGCCTTGCAGGTCCTGCCTTTGAATACGGTAGGACTCGGAGGATTCTCCTTTCTACGTTGGATTAGCAATGCGCTGCAGGCACGCGAGCCATTCCGCGATATCACAGATAATGCATACAGAACCTGACACCGAGAAACTTCCATTATCCCCCAGGGGTGTGGTAATGGGAGCCCGGGGTGGCAACCATCAAATTCATCAGAAGTGGTTTTTTCCAGAGGTTCATCTTATTGCGGTCCTCCTTGCATAATATCCCATTTGCCTACACCAGATGCTCTTTCTGCCTCCCAGCCCCCGATCATCTCAATCCACCACCTGGTCTCGTCCATGACAGTCCGTACGGGCATCATAAACAGTTGTTGATACGTGCCTATGCTTGTGATGCGTCAACACCAGAGCACAGACGGAAAGAATATGGAAGGCAAACACAGGTATCCATTGCTCTTACTAAGAACGTGGCAGGCACATCCTGCCCATGTCTACTCCTAATGTCCGGCTGGCTTGCAGTGCTCACCATCCACCGAGTTAGCCCCTCGTACCTGAAGCTAGGGCCAACCGGACCAGGTTGTAGGGATGGATACCTTGGGGCAACTTCCTAAATGCTGCGGAGAGTGTACTGGCACAAAGTAGCTCCTGAGTGCCCTGGAACTTCCGCTCAGCTGTAGGCCTGCTGGCTGTTCCACAGCACAGACTCTCACGCCTACCCCTAAAAAAAAAGAGAATGGGAGAATGGCATGCTGGAGCTTAGGCTCCTATTCGCTGGGCCGACCCAACCCCCTGGCTTGGCCCTGTGCTGGACCAAAAGCGGAATGGTGTTCGGTCAGTTCAGGTACAAGCCAGTGCTCTCTGAGTCGTGCAAGCGTGTTGGTACCTTCCTACCTTTAGGGAGTAGGTGGTATGCAGTGACCTGGATGTTCTTACAGCGAGGTGGCAGCAGTAGTCGTGGCAGACCAGGAGACATGGACAACGGCCATCCTGCCGTCTAAATTTATTCCACTCGCTTGGGCTCGTTGTACCCATTTCCCCCGTACACCACCAAACCCGGGGCTGGCTTTCTCTCATGGCCGCAGAGCCACCTTCGCCCTTTTCGCAGTCTTATTGATTGAATCGCAGCAGCGCTGCTTGTCGCGCACCGAACCCAACTTTGCGATCCTCTGGAGGGCGCAGCCTGCCTGTCCTGCAGCATCGATCTCACCTCACGATTTCTTGGTTCTGACATTCTGGGCATCACATCCACCACCAGCCCCCTCCCCCCCAAAAGGCCACCCCCTTGATTAACGATAAATTTCGAAGACCCTCATCCCAGCCGATGCCCTGAACTACCAGCCATCCTTAGACTCGGAGTCCCAATCGCACTGGCCCCATCCCTTTCGCAGTATTCTTGGCTTACTCTGCCCAGCCATCATCATTCCTTGCACCCACCCCATCGTTCGCCATTGCAACTCGACACTGGCCACCATCGCCATCTCCACATCGCCTACCTCCTGTCCAGCCGGCGCTACAGAGACGCGACAACACCTCGAGAGTATCACCAAGTTTCTTCGGCCCTGTTATCCCGACACATTGGATGCCCAGTATCTCATCCGCCCGGGAGAAGGCAAGCGCACGATTTGATCAACATCCGAAGATTGGCTCGAGTTTCCACCAGCCGCAGTGCGGCTTTCGTCAACGATGGCGTTCCTTTTCGGAAAGAAGAAATCCCATGAGCGCTCCGTAGCCAGTCGCGAAGGCCACCACACACCAACGCACCCTCCAGTCTCTCGCAACCAGAATGAGAAATCTGGTTTACAGCACCGCGGCACCCCGACCGGGAGCTTGACCTCGCTAGACAACGATGGCGCAAACAATAGCCCTGATCGGGGTCATCCTCGTCGAGGAGCCAGCGTTGACCAGATTACCCCAAGCGAAAACCCCGTGAGTCGAGAGTAATTCGGCACCGACATGATTACACATATTCTGACTTTCTAAAATAGCTTTCCCAGCCTAGAAATGGCAACCCGCCGACTAATAATGCGAATGCCTCACTATACCCATGGTCTCAGCGCAGACTTACATATACAGCCGGACACACGAGCCCTTTCCCTCGATATGGTGCTGCCGTCAACTCGATTTCGTCCAAAGAGGGCGACGTATATATGATGGGTGGTTTGATCAATAGCTCAACCGTCAAGGGCGATCTGTGGCTCATCGAGGCTGGCGGTAACATGTCTTGCTACCCGCTGGCCACCACCGCAGAAGGGCCTGGCCCAAGAGTTGGTCACTCGAGTTTGCTTGTCGGGAACGCTTTTATTGTTTATGGTGGTGACACGAAAATCGACGAGTCTGATGTCTTAGACGAGACCTTGTATTTGCTGAACACATGTACGTCCCTCCTTCGTGGGTGCCCTCCCTCTGATTTTGACCATGTACTAAACTTGCCCAGCAACGAGACAATGGTCTCGCGCCCTACCAGCTGGCCCACGTCCTGCTGGTAGGTATGGTCACTCACTCAATATCTTGGGTTCTAAGATTTTTATCTTTGGTGGTCAAGTTGAAGACTGCTTTATGAACGATCTTTCGGCCTTCGATCTAAATCAGCTGCAGATGCCCACCAACCGTTGGGAGATACTCGTCCAAGGGGAAGTCTCCCCAAAAATGCCCGCTGCGAGAACAAACCACTCTATGATCACCTACAATGATAAGCTCTACTTGTATGTAATTTCGAGATATTTAAGTTGGAATTCAGTAACTGACAAACTCTTTAGATTTGGTGGAACCAATGGCTTCCAGTGGTTCAACGACGTGTGGTGTTACGATGCCGCAACCAATAAATGGATGCAGCTCGACTGCATTGGCTATATACCGGCGCCTCGTGAAGGGCATGCGGCCGCTCTTGTCGATGATGTAATGTATATATTTGGTGGTCGAACTGAAGAAGGGACAGACCTAGGCGACCTGGCTGCTTTCCGCATCTCATCTCGCCGATGGTATACGTTCCAAAATATGGGTCCATCCCCATCGCCTCGCTCGGGTCATAGCATGACAACTGTTGGAAAGTCTATCGTGACGATCGGAGGGGAGCCAAGCTCGGCTGCTACTGCCGTTAATGACCTTGGTGTTATCTACATGCTGGATACTACCAAAATCAGATACCCTCCCGACTCGCAGCAGGGTCAGCAAGGCCAACAAGGGCCCCAGAGGGTTCCTCAAGGCCAGAGACGCCCGAGCTTGATGGAGAGTCCAAATGGTGCTCGTGCGAGCCCAGTTCGTGACGGTTCAGTTGGACCGACGGACCAGAGACGAGCGTTGGGCGCCCCGCCGGCTGCAGTTGGTAACTTGCCAAATGGACATCGATCCCCTCCCGATGGTGCTGATAGTCCAAACGGCACACCTGTGAATGCTCCTGGATCAAAGCCACCACGTGGTGCCCCGGCTTTAGCTGGACCGCCGCCATCAGGGCCCACACCTGCTCGGCCGTCAGTCGACAACGCTCGCGGCCCTGGGCCGTCGGCAAACACATCGCCACAAGCCTCTGCCACTCGCGAGACAGTAGAGATGGAAACAGTGGCAGTCAATGGCCGGCGAACACCAGTTCAGAACCAAAACCAAAACCAAAACCAGGTGGTGCACCCTCCACGGTCAAATTCCAAGCAGGGAACCTCAGACTGGGATGGAACCAGAGGTAATACCTCAAGCAGGCAAGGCCGTACAAAGGGTTCTATTGATGGCTCATCAGAGATACCGAAGAATATTGCCCCTCCTCCTACAACGACCCCACCGCCGCCCTCTCGTCAGCTCAGCAACTCTCTGTCGAGGCGTTCTTCTGGCCGAAACTCGCAGACCGTTGTATTGTTGAAAGAGCTTGATTCTGCCCGGAATAGGAATGCCTGGTATGCATCTGAGTTGGAATTGGCAAGAAAGGCAGGCTATGTTTCTTTCAATTCGACCAGCCCTGTCTTGGACAGCAGAATGGCAGAGACCTTTGACGACGATGACCGACCCTTGATTGAGGCCTTGCTTGCTATGCGAGCTGAACTCGCATCAGTGCAAAATGCTGTTGATAAGCAAGCATCATTGGCTGCCAAGCAAGTAGCTGAGGCTGAGAAGCAGAGGGACTCGGCTATCCAGGAAGCTGTCTATGCCAAAGCAAAATTGGCCGCCCAATCAAAGAACGGTGAATCGACTCTTGCCTTAGCCGACATCGACCGGGATGACCTGGAGTTCCGGTCTGAGGATTTCAGCAAGAAGTTTGCATCTTCCTTGCATATACAGAAGGATCTTCAATCCCGTCTTGACGCCGCTTTAACAGAGCTGGAGGCTGAGAGGAAATCGCGTCAGCTTGCAGACGACACGGTCAATGCAGCCCAAAAGCGACTGGCAGGACTGGAGACTTACAAGCAACAAAATTCCACCGAGGTTGAGCGCTTGAAGGCTGAGTTGCACGCTGCTCAACGAGAGGCTCGCGAGCACTCGGTTGCTTCGGCCCAATCTGTTTCTGCATTGGAGCTTCTCAAGGTGGAAAAAGAGGATTTGTCGCAGAAGCATGATGAACTCCAGGACGCAACCAAGGATCATAACATCACTTTTGAAACTCTTCGGGCTGCCATTGCTGCTTCGGATGATCACAAGTCTCACTTGCAGGCAAAGCTTGACGAGGAACGTTCTCAAAGAGAGATAATTGAGGAGAAGCTCAACAATCTGAAGGCTGAACATGAAGCCCATGTGGCCGAGCTTGTGGCAACAACTCAACGACTTAAAGACGCTGAAGAACTTGCTGAAAAGCATGCTAATGAAGCCGAAACCCACAGGCAAGTCATTTTGACTGGCCTTGACAAGATTACTCTCCGAGATGAATCAAAGGCTGGTAAGGCAGATGCAGAGCATGTTACTGCACTCCAGAACCAACTCAATGCGTCAAGCGCTCTGGCAAAGAAGTACCAAGAAGAGGTAGATGTGACCGCAGACAAACTCCGCAGTGCTGAGGAGCGAATTGCTGGGCTGGAGCAGTACCAGGAACAGTCTAGCCGTGAGGGCTTAAGCATTCGAAGGCAGCTTCAATCTGCACTTCGCGATGCTCAATCACTCCAGGCTACGAATTCTGCGCTCAAGAGCAAACTTGATGCTCAACAACTGGAAACAAATGCAATGAACGTGCAGCATAATGCCCTCAAAGACATCTTGGCTGAGCGAGGAGTGAGCCCGACCAGCGCGGGTCGGCCCCGAGGCCTGAGCGCGTCTCCAGAACAGGGACGCATTCGCGAACTGGAGACGCAACTGGCCAGTGCAAATGCTTCCCATGACGAAACGAAGCTGAACTTCGCGAAGCAAGCACATGAATCCGAGACATCATATCGTGAAAAACTGGCGCAACTCGAAGGCGACTATCAGTCGGCTGTCCACTATGTCAAGGGCACCGAGAAGATGCTGAAGCAGCTTAAGGACCAGCTGAACCGATACAAGGCAGAAAATGGTCAGCTCAAGACTGAAATGGAAGCCCTGGAAGATGAGATGCAAACCAGCCGTCAGAAATCGACTGTCTCGAGCGAATGGGAGACGGAACGCTCCTTACTCCAGAAGAAGATTGAAACGCTTGAGACAGACCTGCGCACTTCAGGTGAAAGCTTGCAAAAGCAGCTGGACACTGTTAAGACGGAGCTAAGCGAGAACAAGCGCCAGCGAGACGAAGCTGTTCGAAGCGGCGAGGATACCGCAAAGAAACTTGCTGCGCATCTGAAGACCATCGAGCAAATGCGTGCAGAAAATACTCTTCTCGAGCAACGTGCCAACGATGCCGAACAGAAGGTGTCTAGGCTCCTCGATCAATTCGAACACTCGGTTGACACATACCGACGCCAGAGCAGGCAGGATGTAGGCGCTGGTGTAAATGGCGCTGCACTGGGCCACTCACGAACAGAGAGCTCGGAGCTGGAGAGCGAGTACGGAGGTAATAGCGAGGCCAGGAACAGCACCGCCCTAGACAACCTCGCGAGCGAGTTGGAAACACTTCGAAGTCACTGGGAAGCTACCAACAAGAACTATCGGTTGAGCAATAACTTTGACTTCGAGGCCCATGCCGGTAAAAAGGACGATGACGGTGGCCTCGGCTTGAGCGAGAGCCTGGCCGATTGGAGAAAGAAATTGGACAACGAGGAGCGTGCCAGTGCAGGAGAAAAGCCTCGACCTGTCTAAACTAATTTCCTCCCGGCGCCATTTACAAAGTACGATTACTTGATTGATTTTTTTGGGTATCACGAAGCGTCTACAAACATATTTTTACTACACCACCTTACATTATAGCCTCGCCCAAGGCTCTCGGCCTTGGCGTAGGTTTCTGTAATTTCTAGTTGTCTCATCCTGGCGAACTGGAGTTTTTGGACGAGCTTGAACGTGGGAGGAACGGGGGGATTAGGCACGCCTGATTGATACCTTTTCTGGTACGAAGCCAGCTATGGACTTCTTTCTTATTTCCTTTCTCATGATCGTTGCCTCAGCCTCGCCGCTGGTGCACTCTCCTTTGCTGAGCATGGGCTATATCTATATATCTATTTCTCTCGTTTCAATTCTTTTCAAATTTTGACTTCATTCTTCCCCTTCCGACAAGTCTTGTACATTTCTTTCACTCTCTATCTTGTTATTCTTGGGGCTGGGAAACTCTTGTCTTTCGAAATCCTCGCTAGTCACTGGCGCTGAGCGAAATTTTTTCAATAGCTACACGTTTGCTCTTCATTTGTCTTGGAAGATGATGTAAAATATCACATTTATTATCCACTAGCATGGCCGATTGGACATATGATTTCTATCCCGTACTGCCCTGAGTGACAAAATGAGCCGTAATCATAGTTAGGTACCTACTTTTTTTTCACCCGACTCTGCCAAAATGCTTCAATACGACGAGTAAAAGGCTATCTATCTTGTATGTATATTATTGAACCAGAAGACCTTTCTGAATTTTCAGACATCGTCTGAAATCTAGTTTCTTGCCTTCGGCTGGCATAAACTCACCGCTGGCAATACACAACACACGCATCTTCCTGTCATATCGCAAGTTGGGGAGCAACTTGGGGGTGACGAGAAAATACTGCGAGGTGTGCTCGCGGCAGGCAATCTCAACCATGCGCTCGTGGACCATACGTTCGTTGCGAGGATCCATACCCTGATTGATCTCATCCACGACTCGGAAGGGAGACTGAGCCAGGGACTGGAGGGCCATGAGGTAGAAGATGGTGGAGACTGCCCGCTCGCCTCCAGACTGGCGATGGGCGTTGAGTTTCTGAAGCTCCTCGTTCTCGCGGAACTTGACCATGATGTCTAAAGCCCACTGGTCAAAGTCCGGGTCCTTGTGTACACGGACCTCGCCCGCGCAGCTGATCTGCTCAAAGTTGTATGCAAAGGCATCGTTGATCGTGGATACCAGCTGGTCGAGCTGCGGCTCCCATTGACCCATGATGCCCTCGATTTTCTGGGTCAAGTCTCGCAACGTGTCCGTGGACGTCTCCATCCTTTTCTGGATTCGTAGAATCTCCGCGGTACGCTTCTCAAACTCGCGTATCACGTTGGGGTTCGCAGCGTGAATCAGCTCCAGTTTGGCCTCTTCTGCATCGATTTCCATGCCAAGCTCCTCTGGTGTCTTGCCCTCTTGAAGCCTGGATATCAAATCCCTCTGCTCCTCGGTCTCAAGCGAGAGTTCCCGGACCAGATCCCGGATTTCTGCACCCTTGGTACGCACTCTGGCGACTTCGGCCTCGGCCTCGGCCAGTTCTAGTGTCTGTTCCTCTAGCTGCTGCATGATTCTACCATTTCGAAGCTTGAGGCCCTCCAGGTCCGATTCGGCTTCGATTACCTGGATCTTGGCTTCTATCAACTCTCGGTGGGCTTCTCCAATCTTCTCAAGAGACCTGGCATGCTCCAGGACGGCCTCTGCACGAGCAATGGTGCCCTCATCCCAATCGTACTGCAAATCCAGTAGACCTTTCCGGATATCTCGCATGGCTTGCTCGGTTGTTTCCTTCTTTTTCTCCTCGGTTGCTTCTCAAATGTTAGTTGATCGTCGCTTCAAGTGAGTTTTGAGTCAACAGTAGGCTCACCAATCTTATCAGGAAGTGCCAGCCATTTCTGGTGTTCTCGCTGCAAGGCGTTTTTCTCCTCCTTGATTTTGTCCTAGAAGATTGTGTCAGAAAATTTGCTGCGAAAGGGGAGGACCATGGCTTACAATTGTCTTCGTGATATCAGCCATTTTGGAATCGATCTCGGATTTTTGCCTGGCAAACTCTTTGCTTCGGCTCTTGAGAGCATCGAATACTTCCTTTACTTCAGATAGTCGATTGTTTAGCTCCACCTTCTCCTGGGAGTCAAGAGGCTGTGACGTCCAGAAATGGCCAGGCTGAATTTGTCTCGTGACAGACGTCACGGCTTGAGGGCCGTACTCCTTTCGTCTGCGCACAATGTTGGACTGTGTTCCAGCAGCCCACTGGGAGATGGAGCCGCTCTGGACAAGACGGTCATATTGGTCGTTATTGTGCTCCTTCAGAGCAACGCCTGACCGATGAATGCCCTTTTCTGCACACAGCATTGCGAGAACGGGAGAAGGTCCTTCTATAAAGTCGAGGGAGAAACCATCAAGCCCAAGCGACTTCGCTTCTTCGCGACTGACAGGTGGTCTGAAGGATTGCAGTGGCTGCGAGCACGTTCTAATATTGATGGACAAACTCATGACTTTGTAGAGCTGATGTGTTAGCTTCTTGTAGTCATTCTTCGTCTGAGCCACTATGCAGGTGAAATCGTCTTTTTGTAGAAGACACTGAACTAGGCTCGAGTACCGTTCGTCTTTTATCGAGCAACTGACCATGGGCGGCCCGAACACTTCCTTCTCAAATTCATCCTTGTGCTGTTGAATCCACTCCCAAGCGGTAGCAACCTCTGGAAAGTGTCTCTTCAATAAGCTCAGCTGTTGACCCTCCTGGGTATCGAAGGCTTCGATCTCCTCCTCCAGCTTTCTCAGTTCGTCTCTTTTGGCTAATCCTTGGGTCTTGAGCTCGCTGACACGGCCATCAAGCTCTCGCTTTTCACTCTCGAGATCTCGTAGATTCTTCTCCTCGTCTCGCTAGAAGCACAGCTTGATTAGTTTGTAGAAACCCATCTACGACATCAGGCGATACATACCACTTTCTGATTCCACTCAGGACCATTGAATTCGGGAGGCCGATTTTTTTGATCGGCTTGCAAGGCTGTGATTTTTTGTCTAGACTGGGCGAGTTCTTGCTTCTTCTCTTCGAATCCAGTTCGCTCAGCGTTTATCTTGTCATTCCATTCGTTCATTTTCTCTGCCGCACGGCCGGCTTCCTTTAAGAGCCTGTCCGACTCCGCCTCCGAATTCCGCTGTAATCTCTCCTTTATAGGGACCAATGCCTTGGCTTTCTGCGCATATGCTTGCTTCTTTTTGATGGCCTCGAGCGAAGGACCTGTCTCCTTCTTAAGGCGATCCAACGCATTCTCGGCGTCCGTCTTCCGGTTCTTGGCTACTGCCAATTTCTTTCTCGCATCGTTATATTGAGACAATAGTTGGGCCGACTTGAGGTTTTTGACCTTTTCCTCGATTTCCGCTCGCTCCCGGATTCTATCCACATCAGCCTGTAGGCCCTGCTGCCGACTTTCGAGATTCTTGAGGTTCTCCCCGTCCCTCTCTGCCACCTCGCCCAACTCCTTTTTCTCTTTGTGGAGTTCCCGCAGCTCCTCCTGCCACTCCAGCATCTGCTCCGGCGCAGCGGCACGCATTGTCTCCTGGAGCAGCTCCACGGGCGAAGAACTAGCGAACTCGACGACGCGATCCTGCGGCAGAAACTGGCATAGGTTGTCCACCTGGATCTTGAGCGTCCACATGAGTTTCTGGATGTTTTTGTGGCTGGTCTCCTTCCCATTCAGCCACCACTTTTGCGAGTTCTGCTCTCGTTTGATCTGGACGCGGATAGTCCAGTTCCGGCGGTCTTCGGGCCGCTTCTTCAACTCGAGCTCAATAGTCGAAATGTCCTTGCCGATCTTGACGAACTCCTTGACGGTACCGGCCCTCCCCAAGTTCTTGGGGCTGTATCCGAGACCCAGGCAGATGGCACACACCAGGGTGCTCTTGCCGGTGCCGTTGGGCCCAATGACCATGTTCAGGTTCGGGCCGGGGAAGAATTCGGCCTTTTCGTAGGTGACGAAGTTCTCGACCGCCACCCTGATGATGGAGCCGGGCTGGAACTCCTCATCCTGGGTGCCGTTCGTGAATCCATTGCTTCGGGCTCCGGTCGACAGTCCGTTCATGCGTGGGCGTTTCGGAGGCTCGACGTCCCTTGAGGCGATGCTGCTGTCGCTGTCATCCTCCTCGAGTTCGTCGCGGGTCCGACGTCGGCTGCCGGATACTGACGACATCGTTGTTCAGTCGGCTGTTGCAGCAGCAGCGGTACGCCGCTGCATGGGGTGGTGTGTGGATGCAAGTCTTGCCGAGCTTTGAGGAAACGGACGAAACGTGAAGCTGTTGAAGGAGACGACGGTGGTGGGGTCACAGACGCGTCTCACCGCGTTTAATGGGTAGCTGGTAATTAAGGCTTTGGCGCGTGGGTAGCTGAATGTTTCGGCAGCTAGCGAACGGGCGGCGATTGTAGGAAAAGCAGGTTAAAAATGCTAATCCATAATTACTGGGCGCCTTGAGAGGGACAGGGCGTGTGCAGGAGATGGTGCACTTTTCGCTTGTTCATGCAATCGATGTGCTGTTATCCCATGTGTGGTTTTTCTTTTTCTCAGCCTGGGGGGAAGGAACTGCCTACTATCTACTCCGTACTCAATATGCAATCACGCCTGAACCCCCACTCACCTTCGTCTATCGCAGCATCATCTCATGCCATACATGAACCCGACTATTTATGAGTTCGCATGAGAAAGAAACGAACCTAATTAAGGCCCTCGAATGCATGCAAATGGCAAAAATGCGTAATCTGGGAATCGAACCCAGGGCTCCCCGACGCTGCTCGGATGGCAACGGAGAATTTTACCACTAAACCAATTACGCGGTGTATGTCTGTGGAAGCGGAAGTTGGCAATGTGAACCCTGCCAGTCGATCCCACCTTGAGGAACTCCCTAGGCTTACCACCATCCTTCATCTTGGTGCTCATTGGAAACCACCTCGCGTGAAAGTATTTTATCTTGGTTTCGACATTCATTTCTAAAGGTCAAAAGAAATTTGATTAATAGCGTATCATCATGAGGTATATGTATCCAACCTTGACATCGTCAACCATGGTCCATTAGCCTGCTTATCTGTGCGATACGAGTCCTACATCTCCTCCACCTCCACGGGTTCGGGGTTCCATACGGCCTCAATAACGCTCATCCTACATCCCGGAGAACGACTTGCCCCCTTAAAATGATTGTCAGCTTGCTGTAGTCGAGAAGTGTCTGGAAACAAACTGCTTACCTTGAAGACAAAGCGTTCATCAGCAGCGCGGAATAGTTCGCGGAATTCGTCCTCAGTTCTCTCTTGTGCATTGAGGAGGCACAGCATAACCATGTCCATGCTGCGCATCAGCTTCTCGTCCCAGGGATTCTCGGTTCCAGGCTCCTGAAGGCAATGATCGTTGATAACGACGCGGGCCCCTGGCTTCAAGGCAGGTACAAGGTTCTTGAGGAGTTTGATGGCGTAAGGGGTCGAATAATTATGCATGATCCATCTGAAGAAGTATACTACCCAGAAAATAGGTCAGCATCTATCTTTTTAAAAGTGTTCAGAGGAGGATAACAAAAGAGGGCTTACCATCAGCATTCTTGACGGGTTGTTCTTGGAAGAAATCGTGCGCTTGCAGCTCGACCCTCTCAGCCACGCTCTCATCGTCTGATATCGGCTTTGGGGCGCTGTCGACGGTTTTGGCCAGGTCTTGAACCACAAACTTCATATTCTTCCACTTTTTGGCCAAGTCCGTGCAGACAAACCCGTGACTGCCGCCGATATCAACCAACACCCCAGCCTTCTGGTCAATCTCGCTCAAGTCGTATGAGTCGACAAAGTGTTGGACTTCATACCCTTCACCTCCTGTCAAGCTGGCCATTGCGCCGCCCATACGCTTTGCTCGGACTGGGTCCTTGCCAAAAGTCGCGAACATAGGCTCCTTGTCCACAGTGTCGAAGGCCACGTTGAAACCAGTCCGCGTGAGTGATGTCGCCTCTGGATGCGTCTTGATCGCCGACAGCACGCTGGCAGCTGCAGGGAAGATATCCTCAGAGTTGAAGCCTACCCAGTCCTGAAGGGGGCCATCTTGAGCGAGCAGACGTGAGGAGGCTGTATGGGCGATGAAACCAGGGGTTGGCTCGCAGAAAACATGATTCGTCATGCTGTGCCTTAGTATTCGCGCGAGGTTGACCGGATCCAAAGTGGTCTTGGTCTGAAGCTCTGCAAGAGCAATGGACTTATCGAGAGGCACAAGCTTTGCTGCGGCGAGTGTAAGTGGGATACCGGTTTAACTGGAGGCGCAGCGAATTATACTTACCGATACCATAGTTGTTGACAACCTGAAGGCTGAGGGTATCAAGGAACTATTATAATGGCCGTTAGCTTACCGCACGCAGAATTTCATGAGCCATTGGCGGTCTACATACGCTCCAAACTCCCCAACGAACATTCTCTCTCGGGCCTCTGACGAGGTCTCCGAGCTCCTTGGTCGCATGCACAATCTCCAACCGGCTCCTCTGCGCCTCTTCGGATAACTTTGGGAAGTCTCCCGGCGCATCGACTCCGAAGCTAGGATCAGGTAGACCGTTATCCTTGAGATAGGCCTCCAGCTTCTCAGCCTCGGCGCCGATCTTTTTTGCCAGAGAAATCAGCTGGGACACTTCCTGCACCTTGTTGTTGCTCCCATTGGGAGCCGACGTGGTAGACTGGTTTTGCTCCATTGGAGTTTCCGTGTCCCAATTGATGAGACTCCTCAACCCTGAGAATGATTGGCGATTTTGCTTCTTGACTTCAGCATCAAGTTCATTGGTAGAGGGGTCAGTTGATGATTTGCGGCCCCATGGGATTCTAAGCTTGGTCATCCTTGATGATGATCAGAACGCGGGAAGTCTGGATGACCGGGATAGGCCTGAATGAGCGGAATACGCAGGAAGAGCTCAAGATATTGTTGGGGACGTGGAATTGGGAGATGGCTCTTGAAAAGGAGCAGATGGGCCCATGAGCTGAACAACCCAAGAGAACGGCGAGATTGCGGACTTGTTTGGCCTACTACTGATCTAAACTACCTCTGTACATACCCTAAAGTGGCCTGAAGGAACCCACGAGTTTGCATCCACACCTGGCCAAGATGGCCAGGATGGCTGGGATGGGTGTTCGAAACATCTTGGGTGGTAATGTATTAGACAGGGATCTTCCGCCTGCTCCTGACACCCTTGCATGGTGACGGGGCGGGGCACGGACACAGGTCTATCCGACCTATCATCAAGCTGAACTTGGGATTCTGTTCACAAGAGTCGGATGTGGTGGCGGCTATATGTGGAATGGCGAAAACTAGAGGGGTGATTGCAGTGCTGGCATAACTATCGAACGGATCTTGGCTTGGCGGGCGCTTCCCATGAGAGAGCACCAAATAGGTTATATCTTGAGGTATCATCAAACCTTGACTTCACCGTGCGGTTATTATTCCCAACGGCTCGGTTCATACCAAACATGGGAAGATCCCGTGTGTCCTCCTGCGGCTCCACCGCCGCCTACATCGGCATAGTATGGGAGCTTGTCTCGCCATTGATGCCGTATCCATGGGCTAGGAGTAGCCACACGTGTGTCTCGTTTCTGGATCCTCTTTACCGCCTCATCTCTCTAAGCGAAGCTAGGTGCACCAGGCCGTTCGAGACTGGTTATAAAACACACGTATGTACCCAACAATATGACTGCTCATCACAAATTTTCGGAACAATTCGGGTACCCTCGCCTGTATTCACAAACGCACTGTGGCGTCGTTGAAAGAGAAAAAAGCAAATATGGCAGGCCGCCATACATCTCCGCTCAGGCCTTTTGGCCATATACAAGATGAAGCCGCATATAGATGAGGGCTGAGTCGTCCATGTATGCCCTGCGCACATTCATCAAAAGCATCTCAATCCTGTGACGATCCCATTTCAACCCCCTGGTGAGAGGGCCCAGGGCGATCGCCTGTAGACCATCCACCAGGATTGTCCTCCAATAGAGTCCAACAGCCTTGAGCACCTTGTTCCTTGGCCAAGTTCCAAGCGGGACATGCAAGACTCGCTCTGTGACATTAATAAAGCCTGCCTCCCGCATCATGTTGCTCAACTTGGAGCCTGCCGCGGCGTGAAAATCGACACCAAGAGCCGAGAGCCCGGCGTTGATGAGAGACCAATACTGTGCTACAGGATTGTCGGGTGGGACGACGCCGGTAGAATGGCCGCTCAAGGGGCTATGGTGAATCTCTTGCATCTCCATCCACCCTCCTGGCTTCAAATGTCTGTAATTAATTAGTTATGTGCTTCCATCGGACATGTGGTAGTCAGATCGTACTCGAGAGACCGCCTGAGAAGTCTGGGCCAGTTCTTGATGGCCATGACCGTATGGCGAGAGTGGATGTAGTCAAAATGATTTCGTGGGTAGAGCCAGGGCGACTCAGCATCGTCAACAACGAAACGGACATTGGGGGGGATCCAGTTGGGCTGAATTGGAGATAAGTCAACGCCTAATACCTCGGCACTTGGGAACTGGTCGCCGACTAGCAAAGAGAAAATAGATTCTCAAGTTAGCAATGTCCAAACGCGAGTTTATCCATGCAGCTGAGAAGGCATTTTCCTACCTTCTATCGCCCAGATGCCTGTGCCCGTCCCGATATCTAGAATTCGCTGCGGATTCTCTCCAATGGGCGCAAAATGAAGCTTCTGGCTACATAGCAGTTTCATCATTGCATGCTTCATATCCTCTCTCTCCTGCTCCACCTCGTCATTGGGGAAGTTATATGTCCCCTCGCGGAAACTATGATACCGACGCCCATTTTCGAACATGAAGTCTCGGACAGACGATGCCAGCGAAGTGCTGCTGCTTTCTTCGCTCAGACTTTCATAGCCGCCATCTGTATGGTCGCCATCCGACTGGCTCTCTGTGTCATCGTTGGGCGGTGCTATGTCGGCAATGATAACATGTTGTGCTTGCTGGAGGGCATCCCGGGAGAGCTGATCCTGTTCTGCAGTTGATAGGGACGGGAATATGGCCACACCGTTCGGGTGCGTTAGCGGGGAGGTGACGTGAGAGCCCAGTTCCTCTTCTGCACCAGCGTAAGAACTGGGCTGCGGCTGATTGTTGTCTAGAGGGGGGCCTGGCGCTGCTGGCTGCTGAGATGTCAGGTATTCATTTGAGGCATGGTCCGGGGCTGCTGATGAAGATCCGGGCTGAGAGAGGCCCGAGACCGGTTCTGGACGGGCAGCTTGTTCGCCGGCTTCCGTTTTGCGAGTGGCGTGTAAGGATGCCACGGAGATGGCCGAGTCGTTATTGAGGGTTCGTTGGCTCATTTTGAGAGATGGAGGGGGAGTTAGAAATATGGTTTTCCTAGAGCCTGGGGTTCGTTCTGTTGCCCGATCGTATGACCCCTCCAAGCGAGCTCTATCATTGCTCCTTTCGCGAAGCGCATGGGTTTGCTACAACAAAGCGAGCAGGGGAGGCCAGTGGCACAAGCTGGCAAGCAAAACCATCAACCAACGTGATTGAAGCGCCGTAGACGTGGGATTGGTACGGGAGAAAAGGATGAAGGGTCAGAGGGAGAGGGAAAGAGCGAAGGGAAGGCTGGTGGTGAGCGATCCAAAGGTTATTATGGACACCATTAAAAGGGCCCGCGCAAATTCCTTGCTACGACCCTCCCGCAAAAGCAAGATCCAGGGCACGTTGGAGGGCTCATTTTATTGGCTGCAGTTGCCCGCGCGCCATGTTTTACTGCATCTTTCCCCCTGCAAATCTACGTGTTTGGCCCTGTCCTTGATTCGAGACCGTGGTAGGACGACTCCCAAGGAGCCAAGGAGGCCAGTAGGTTTGACCCTGACGATCGTGGCTTTCCGGGCATTTTCTTGCTGTCCAGCACGAGAAGCGCAGCTTCACCGGACCTCAGCTCATGATTGACCCAGGTGATCGTCTGTACATTCCTCTCGACGAACCCATTTGCCACTCCGCTCGACCCTTCAGCCCAAGACTCAACTCGAGAGGCCTGTGCGCATGCAGCTGCACCCGCCCGTGCATAAGGCCGTAGTGCATGTCGTTTTCTCTCTTTTCTCGTGTCTCTTCTCTCGCCCTCCCGCGCGGGCTCACACACATAATCTCTTGTTGTCTCAAACACGGATGGCCCGACTGGCCGCAGTCTCCCTGGCCACATGCAGCCCACGAGGGCCGGCGGCAGCACATCATGGCTTGGCCCGGGTGTCAGTGCACGATGGATGAGGTGCGTATAAGATTAATCTATCTTATCTCGGTACCCATCGAGAGGGTACGGGGTAAAGGCACTACCTGCTGCTATCTACCTAGCCTTGAGCCGGCACCTTGAAGTGGAATTACAGGGCACAAGTCCCGATCTCCCAACGTCGCTCCATGAAAACCCCCGCTCCTCTCCACTAAATAATACCGCCCTGTCCAAATTTCTATCTCCGGGTTTTGATTGATCGCCGACTCATCCTCGCCAAACGACTCGTCGCCTTGTCTTGTGTTTGGTGAATGCTCATTTTGAACCTTGGTGTCTCCTAATACTTTGCTACTGGTTCATGAAAAAGTAGACTGCCGAAACGCACATGTCGCGCTCTTTGAGCATCGCTCGCTCCAAGGGCAAGCCTGCTCTGATATCTGAGGAGAGTATTGATGACTTGGAGCGCCAGAGGCAGGCCATCGACTTCCTCGGAAAGGATGATCTCTACAATGCGAGCAGGGTCTTGTTTGACCTGCCCACGGAGGATGATTACACTTACCACGCAATGACAAGTGTGAAGCTCGCCGAGGTGCAGCGGGTTGTGCAGCTGGGAGGTGTTAATGGATTGCACAGCTGGTATCGTCAAGACGACGGGTCGCCGGTAAGAAACGATGAACTCCCATTCTTTGTCTTGGGCCAAGCCCGCATGAGCCCTTCAAGTATAGTCCAGGCGCTGATGACGCCTCGTGTTTCGTCTTGTCAATAGAGAGATTGCCCTCCACTCCCGGACGTTGATGCCTACGTATCAATATTCAGTCCCTCCACGGCTACGGTGTCAGCCCTGAAGAACTTTGCCACCAATGCCAAAAAGACATCCATACGTTCCGAGGTCGCTGACCACCTCGCTGGCAAGCGATTCCTGCACCCCGCCTTGGAGAGCAGATTGACCATACCCAAGACAAAGCCCAAGAAGCCTCCTAGCAGCAACTTCTATCTTGATTTCTGGGCATGGTCATGTCGAAATTTGGAATGGTGCGGCCCATGCGAGTCGTCCGGCAGGGTGAACACGAGTCATCATGTCCTACCCATTTTCATGCATCACTTTGGATGCGCGACACCATCTCATGAAAGCCTGGAGATTCTACGGATCCTCGCAGAGGGACGGGAGCTTGTCGACATGGGGTCAGGGAATGGGTACTGGTCCTTCATGCTCAGGCGGTATGGACTGACAGTGCATGCTGTGGACAACATGCAGAGCGAATGGCGTGTCAATTGGATTGGCGACACCATCATCTCTGATGGTATTCAGTGGCTAAGAAGAAACGCCAATGGACAGAACATGGTACTGCTCCTGGTGTACCCGATCGTCGGAGGAGGTGTCGGGGGAGGGACAGAAGGTGGCTTCACGAGGAATCTCGTCAATACGTTCCGTGGAGATACGATTGCAGTGGTTGGCACCCAGAATACAAACGGCTATACAGGCTTCAAGAACGTGACCATGGACCAATTCATGGAGAGGGAACACCCGGAGTGGACAAAGGTCGTGCAGATTCCGCTGCCGAGTTTTGCTGGGAAGGACGAGGCCTTGTATGTTTTCCAGAGGGGAGATAGGGTGCCCAAGGGGCCATGAATACAACGCCTTGCCATGTCACATGCTGTGCTGTGCTGTTAATGAAGTGAAGCTGTTAGCGATGATGTAACCTCGATGGCGCTGGAACCGGTTGTTGCCGATCCCGTGACTAGCAGCAGCGCTGGTTGGCTGGCCCGTTCCGTAGTATGTGCGCATGAGCTGCAATTAGCCCCAAGGAACCAGCCCTGACAGCAGCCAGCACTCAATCAGGGCCAATTAGCGCACACTTCCGTGATGACGTTGAGATTCTGCCCTGAACCCCTGTACAAAATTTCCCAGAGCGAGCGCAAGAAACACGTATCGTTATCACCTTGTCATTACCAGAGAACCCACTGCATCAGGCCCTGTCTCAACTCACCGTCTTGCCGACCGCCATTCTTGCCTTGCTCTGATAGATTGGTCCTAAATCCGCTTCTGGACACAGTTTGTAACCCCGCGCATACCCCTCCGACGACTCCAAGAAGCGACTATTCGCGCACGCGACACGACTTTTGATTGAAATTGCAACCGCAACCTCCCACCGACATCGTCTTTTTGCCGACAGCGACAATGGTATACGTTCGGCAGAGCCAGCTCCCGGCTCTCCGGGAGTACAAGTACTCGGCCGTGGACCGTTCTCTGACGTCCAAATACATCCTCAAGCCGTTTTACACGAACTTCGTCATTAAATGCTTTCCCATGAGCATGGCGCCCAACCTGATCACATTGACCGGATTTCTGTTTGTCGTCGCCAACTTCATCGCCCTCCTATGGTATAACCCCACCCTGGATCAGGACTGCCCACCATGGGTTTACTACAGCTGGGCTCTCGGACTTTTCATGTACCAGACATTCGACGCTGTTGACGGCACTCAGGCGTGAGTAGCAATTCCTTGGCATCGTATGATGGAATCGGCGTTGGCTAACCAGAAATCTGAAAACAGACGACGAACAAGACAGTCCGGACCCCTCGGCGAACTTTTCGACCATGGTGTCGACGCGCTCAACACTTCCCTCGAGGTCCTCATTTTCGCTGCATCGCAAAACATGGGCCAAGGTTGGAAGACGGTTGCAGTACTCTTTGCTTGTGAGAAATCCCGGTCCATCCTGCTTCCGCAGGCCTATCTACCGTGTCTGAATATATTTCTTGTGTGCTAACTATTCTGCGACACAGCTTCTCTGACCTTCTACGTCCAGACTTGGGATGAATACCACACCAAAACCCTGACTCTTGGTATCGTGAACGGCCCTGTCGAAGGTGTGCTCATTCTCGTCAGCGTCTACGCTTTCACTGGGTACGTGGGAGGTGCTCATTTCTGGCAACAAAGCATGTTCCAAACTCTGGGGGTTCCCCTCTCCAAGGGTATCCCACACCAGATCTACAACATGACCTGGTGCGAGTGGTATCTTGTTCAGGGTACCGTGGTCTGCTTCTTCAACACTGTTGAGTCCTCTCTCAACGTCATCCGTGCCCGTCGCGAGCGAGGTGACCGATCTCGAGGCGCCCTCCTCGGGCTCCTGCCTTTCTTCGCCATCTGGTCATTGATCATTGCGTATCTCTACCTTCAGCCTAACATTCTCCACAACCATCTGGTTCCTTTTGTGCTCTTTGCCGGTTTTGTCAATGCCTACAGCGTCGGTCAGATGATCACGGCCCATCTCGTCAAGCTCCCATTCCCATACTGGAATGTTCTTGGCGTTCCTATCGCTCTTGGTGTTCTTGACTCCGCCGGCCCGTCGATGCTGAAGCACTTCGGCCTCGGATGGCCCAGCGCTCTTGGAAGCGATGTGTACCAGGTCGCTTTTGTTTTCCTCATGCTAGGTTTGGCGCTTGGTGTCTACGGAAGCTTTGTTGTCGACGTCATTGTCACTATTTGCGACTATCTTGACATCTGGTGCTTGACCATCAAGCATCCATACAACGAGGAGGCAAATGGCAAGTTGAACAAGGTTCACTAAATGTCCGAATCTTTCTCGACGACTTTTACCGGAACCGGTGGACGACTTTTACGATAAATTACAACTCGGTGTGTCAGGTGACGATAACTGACGCTTGACGGCAAGCACGAGTTTACATTCTACTCCTATGGGGATCTCCCTCTAGGATCACATATACCGGCTGCCAAGGTCGGAAAATGCACCACCCTGGCAGCAAGCAAATAAACAAGCAAATTTTGGGGTCTTCTTTTTACTCATAATGACGGTTTCATTATCTCTGGGTTTCCCTTTTCAAGAATCATAAAATGGTGAGGGATGCTCTCTTGTTTTGGAGCCAACAGTTAGGGCATTTAATTAGAAGAGTAGAACGGTGGAGCGAGGCGTGTCTTTTTTGGGCGATTCTATTTTACACTTTCTTGCTTCTTGGTCATAGATGTGTGTACCTATTAGCAACTACCTTACCTTACTTAATCACCTGTACAATCTCTTGTCTATATGTAATAACAATAATCTGAAGCAACTCACTCGTTCTTGGCGTTCAGCCTATACTCTCTGTAACCTCGTCACATATAGACATGGGCCTATACTACATGCCAGTGATGATTTTGTTATCATTGATAGATAGCATGAGGTCAATTCACCCGTATCTTTCCCCATGCACCCCCGCTTCACGGTTACGAGTCATAGGGCTCGAGTTGCTAAGCTACGTATCGTGTTACTAGGTAGATATGTCACCAACTAGACAAGAGGGATCAAGATATGGGGAAGCCCCAGGATGTTGTGGGGTAGCATGGATGGATCGTCTGGTCATATCACGTTGCGTACTCCACGAACTGACGTGTAATATTCATCCAGGTACGTCTCTGCTCAGCAGGCAAGACCATTCTCTCGCACTCCAGGTCATTTGGGAAACTCAAGCTAGCAGCAACAAGTGCCAGACAATATTTTTTTTAATAAATGGTTCTCATTTCTCTCATAATTCCGTAAACCAGCATGCGAACAAACAAAAACAAGACAACCAGAAAGGGGGGCCATTCAGGGTCCCGGGAATAAAACTCTTCTGGTGGAAGCTGTCTCTTGGATCCCGGATTCTCAAAAAAAATATCGATCCCTACTCCTTTCCTTTCCTGCTCCAAGATAAAACGCCTTCCTCTTATCCAATTTGAGTCAAGGGAATTTGTATTCCCGCCATATTCATCGAAGCCATTCCAATATGGATATATGCGTGTATAAGGTATGTTTTTCAGCTTTTTCTCCGTCAATGGTTTAGATGAGGTTGTCAGTGCCGTTGGCAACGCTCAGCTGGATGGCAGCAACGATGTCCTTTTGAGAAAAGACGGGGCCCTGGCCATCGCACACCGCGCGCGTCCTCAGGTGCTCGCTGACATTGATGATATCCACCAGGCCGCGCTTGAAGAGCTCGTGGGATATGATGAAATCCCACGCGGCTCCGGCAGCATACAGGCTCTGGCCGTCGGACGACTGGACGATCCTGTGGGAGAACTGCTTGTTCTGGTGGCCTTGTAGGACGCTCGAGGCGAACTCGGTCGGGTTGTAGCGCATGGGGCCGGTGACCAGCGGCTCGGGGGAGCTGGAGGACTGGAGGTTTCGCCCGCCGGTGGTCGTCGTCGCCTTGAGGATCTCGTTCTCGGTCGACACCTTCTGGAGGTCCCTCTTGAGGCGCTCGTTCTCGGCCGAGGCGTGCTGCTGGGCCGCCTCGAGGTCGGCAAGCTTGGCCTCGAGGTCCTTGACGTGCTTCTCCTTTCGCTCGCGGAAGGCTCGTTGACTAATTGGGTTTAAAAAGAGGATGATCAGCACAGGTTCTGTAGCATGAGCTAAGCAGGGGGTGGAAGATCCAGCCCCCCCCGATGTCAGCGGGACGTACGCAGCTCGATTCTGGGCTTTTCGCTTGGACTGAGCAGGAGTCATGTTCTCCTCCTCGCTTCCAGCCCGGCCGTTGCCCGCATCGTCGGACTCGGACTTATTCTGGGACCCCATATCGGCCCCGGCCATGGCGACGCCGGCATGGCCGAAGCTGCCGTTGGCGAAGGAATTCGAGTGTTGCTGGCCGAATGCAGACTGGTTGGGGGGTGTCGGCGGACCGCCGTTGGCGGTGAAGATGGAGCTCTGCTGGGGCGGCTGGGAGAAGCTCTGGGGATAGTCGAAGGTCTGGAAGCCATCATTGGCAGGAATGGAATCAAAGACTTCCTATTGCACGGGGGTCAAACATCAGTCTTGAGAGCTCGGTTAGGATGCCCAACACCTTCGCGAGCAATAATTGCTGTCTAATGCTCAGGTAATGGCTGCGCTAGGGCGGGGGGTTCGGGACAGACGGGGAGGAGACAGGCTACTGACAGGTGAGGAACCGTTATAATCGTCTGATTGTGAGCGAGAGGGCGTCAAGGGATCAACAGACATAAAAGGGTTGTAACCCGCCGGCTGCTGGGTGCCAGCAAACTGATACTGGTTGGAGAAATCCATGGCGGTTGATGGAGATGTATGGATGGTGTTTTTTTTTCGTCCTGGGCAGCTTGAGCTACCAAATGCCGAAGCTCGTCTCTGACGGGCTGCCGCACGTTTTGGGTTTGGTGGTGGCGGCTGTCGTTTTCGCTCACTCTTGGACGTAGTGCAGCGCGATAATCAGTCAATATAGTCCAGCTGCTGCGCCTTTCTGTTTTGCTTTTGCTCTGCCTTAGCTGCTTCTCTCTTCACGGTCCACCTGGACGACTTGCTATTCCCGGGCGGCTGATGATGATCCGACACATCAAGTGTCTCGTCTAGTGCGTGCCGTACGTGATGGGATGGGTATAAGTAGGTCGGTAGGTCAGGCAGGCAATTGATTAGCAGGCAGTCCAGGATTCACCGCGCATCTGGGACCCAAGCCAAATCACTCAATGCAGGTGTGTTGCCTCTTGTCAAAATCGAGATCCGATGCAGGGGGGTGATATTAAGGCCATCGTTGGACGGGCATCTAGCAGCTATTATTATTGCCCTCGTACGAGCGAGCCATGCTCCCTGTTTTACCACTTCCATCCAAACAGCCAGCCTACACATGACCGCAGTGACAATTCACTTCTAGAATCCATGAGCCTTGGCGCAGAGTTTACCTGTCCACTCCTGCATCGACCCCTGCCGCCCCCTCCCCTTGGCCCTGGGGCGGGCTTCATTAGGCTATAATGCTACTCCAACATGTAGTTTTGGAATGGGGGAGGGGGCGTATCGCCAGTTGCCCAACCCAGCGACCTTGCACGGTACTTCTATCTCGAGAACTCCCAAGGTCCCTGTCCCACTTGGGCTATGGTTGCCCCATCAGCTGGGGTATGAGGGTTGTCGTGATCCTCGTTGTACAAAGAGGCACAGGGGTCTGCGACCTTTCTTGCACCTCCAATTGCCATGGCAAAAGTCAAAGTCGGAAATCAGCAGTCTGCAGCGCATGCTTGAATAGGAATCTCCCACGCCGGAGCGGTCTGTCAGACGGCCCCTGGTAGGAAATCTCTTGCCCTTCCGGTTGTCTGGATTGGTGAGGTCCCGTCCAAGTCCTGGAGGCCACTCCCCCAAAAGCAAAACAGTGGCGACTGGCTCCGAGCCTGCTGCAATTTCATCGGATCCTCAGCGGGCAGGGCGCCCGCTCACAAGGATGGCAACCTTGCTCCATAAGGCCAGGTTGAAACAGCCACCAAATGTACACCTGGTCCATAACGCCCAAGCTCATCCGCGCGTAGAGGATCTGCCGCTGCGCTGGGTGCTTTGTAGCTCGCGATAGTCCTCTGCTATGGCAGAGCTAAGACCTTAGGTTTGGCACCAATATCCACGTGCATATGCAACCACGGCAGGTTAAAGCACAAAGGGCATGTAGCCATGGTGTTGCTACCGCTCAGGAGACAAGGGCCAAGCCGAAGCAACGGCAATTGCCCTTTAGGACATGATTGACAGCCTACATAGAGGCAGAGTGCCGGATGCTGCGTGGGCATCCATGCTTTGGCTCCTGTCACCAACCAGAGAGATATAGACACCTGGGTGTATAACAACAGATGGGCAAATACCTAGGCAAAGACACTAGACATGTGCAGACTGCTACCTCCGACCTGAAGCTACAACCTGCACCGTCCTATCGACTACCTGAACCTACGACCTGACCTATCTGCATCTCGATAGCAATCCACATCCCGCGGTAGGCCGTGGACTGCCGCCTGGGCAAGAACCAACCTTTAACGGTCGCCACCCGCCAGTCCGAGACGTGCTTTGCACTTGTTCAACCTTGCCCGTCGTCGCTAGCATATGACTGCGGCTGGTATGCGAAGGTCAAGCGAGATGACGCGGCGCCAGCAACGTTGCTGTTCCTCTATTCATCTAACCACCCCAAGTAAGTCGAGCCACTCCAGCGCTCCAAAAGTACAGGAGTAGGTCTATCCGTCCAGATGGGAGACTTGCAATTCCCATGTTAACCCTCCTGCCCGGCATCTTGAGCTTGCCCTAACAGGTGTAGGCCCGTGGAGTCGCGGTGGAGAGCAGCGGCCGCCCGCCCATCGCATTGCTGTGTGTGATTGTGATCGCACACTCACCCAGCCACACCTAAAACGCGGCGTCCTGTCTGCCGTTGCTTGTCTCGATGGATCTCGCCCGCTTGTCGCCGTCCTCTTGGTGGGGTGGATATCATTGGGCGCGCCAAGCTCCGCCTTTTCCCCCCGAGCCTGGTGAAGCTGCCATCGCCGCCGTTGTCCAGGTCAGCCTGCGAGGCTTGCCACCGTTCCCCAACTTCCCCGACCCGCGGCTTGATATCGTGCCTGCCGACGTTGCATCTGGGCACACCGACAGCTACAACCCAATATGAGGTGAGGATGATTCAGTACCGGCAGCAGCGGACACGTGCATACACAACCAACCAACCTTCTCAACTGCCTCCGCCCTCCTCCGCTCTCGGGACGATAACCGATTCCACCAGCCTTCGTCCGGAACCGTTGCCAGTGACATGCCGTTTCAGGGGTGTCACAACACAGCCTCGACGCTTGAGCTCGCTCCATCTCCTCCTCTTGAGATCCCAACTGGACACGCAGGATGCTGCTTTTCCTCGTCCCATGGCAGGCAGCAAGCACCCGAATAGCAGAGAATAAACTCTGATAACAATAAGGTAGGTTACATGACGTGCTCCAATGAATCACTAGTGTAGTCGGAATCCTTGTCAATCTTACATACGTACATTTGGCAATCGATACGAACTTGTCGCCCCTTGGCATGCAGAGCTGCAAGAGCCCCAATTCCAAATCATCGTGCTGCGGCTACATCCGAAAGTTTACTGGGACTCGGTAGATGGCAACCACTTCATATCAACTTGAACCTTTAATCGTTGTGGCATCAAGTCACACCGAGGTCGTCCCGTTGCTACTGCAAGCTGAGGAATCGGTGGAGCCTTCTGTGCGACCTCCGGTTCTTCTATGCAACCCATGCTGCCTGTGCGTGCTTTTCTCGTAGGATAGACTGCATGTTCACACAAAGCTCATTCGACGCTGAGTTCCCAACCTTGCTCGCCACTTAGCGAAAGAGCGTTACGGGGTCACCGCCCCCAAGACTTGTGGAGTGCAAAGTCGATAGCTCACATGATAGATGGATGACAGTGCAGCCTCTAAGGTGCAGTGATGTGTTCGTTTTGCCTTGAACTGGTAAAGATGGTGTCCCCCACTTTCCAGGCTCAAGGCTAAGGCAGCAGGCGGCATCTTCAACCCGGGTCTATTCTTTGCTTTTCGGGGATCGCACTGCCTGCCGATTCCTCCTCGTGTCTACAATTCCAAATAACTTGACCGTCTTACTGCTTTAGGGCATGATCAACCAGCCATGAGACGGAATTAGAGATTGCTTGAAAATGAATTGCTGGACCAAACCGGGAATACCAGCTCTGCCAAGCCGTGAGACAAGATCTCCCCAGGTTGCTGGATAGTGCCAGTTTCGGATCATTGCTGCGCTTCGAACCTGGGTTGCAGGACTGATACCCGCTGATCTTCCCTTGATACTCCCTTGAGCCACTCTTTAGTGTCTCTTTTCCGCAGAGGCATATCTGGGTGGGAAAGCCAGATCAACCCACGCGTAGGGCTGTTTACTATCCTACTTGCCTACTACCTGTGTTAGGTACTCTACCTAACTTGAGGTTCCACCCTCTTGCTCGCCAGTTCGACACTCTCCGTCCTAGTGATTGGCGTGTGACGGCTCGACGCTAGGAAAGTATCGACTCGAATAGTCTCAACGTCTACTAACCGTTCAGCCCGCTACTGGTGGAAATTCGGGATAGAGTCCGCACCGCTTTACATGCTTCCTGCAGATCCTCCAGATGACCGCATCTCCAAGGAAAAGCTATTAAATTAATCCAACTAACGCGCGTGCGGGGGACGCTACAGGGTATCTTCTCGGAAGATTTGTCCCGTTTTGGGTACTAAGACTGCAATCCTCATGCGTTGAAGCAAGCGATCCCTCAAGGGCGGAATATTGCCATCTATTACTTCTCTCATCTCGGCAAACTCAATAGTCGAGGACTGTGTGATGGAGAACGCAGGTTGCCCGAGAGGATCGATAACAGCTTGAGGCTAGCCTTCGTTCCATGTCGGGTACTTGGTGTCTGCAGTGCGACACACCCACACCTAAACCCAATGTAACCGAAAAAAAAAAAAAAAAAAAAAAAAAAAAATAGGAGGGGAGTTTGGATTGTTGGACAGGCCTTCAGCATATTCACCCTAGGTAACTACTCGCATGGAACACTTCCCTTTCGCAGGCTTCATTATCTACTGCAAACCTGACTACAGGGTGCCCAGAAATCCTTGCGGATGGCCATATTCCACAAGACGTGCGCTCCTCCTGGAGCAGTTTACTGACAGGACCTACAGCCAAATCTTAATTTTCCATCTCACATATGAAATTGCTCTATCTTTTGTCTATTAACGTCTATATTACCGTCTATAACTTTCGCACGTCGCCATGATTCTCTATGTATGTGGCCATTCCGAATCCCCCCCCCCAAAAAAGCACAAAATTTACTGACTGGCTTTTCAGAAGTAGGCGACGTTCTCGCATGACTATTAGAGCCCCCGTTGTATTGTGTTAGGCTAGGGATACTTGGCATTTCAACAAACTTGGCTCAGGGACAACGACGGGGAGTGGAAAGGACCTTCAACAAGGGCACCTCTCCTCCCCTCCGCTTCTAACAGGTAAAAATTTGGCATCTACTCACACATATATAGTCTAATCCCTTCACGAAACTAGAAGAAAAAATCGAACTGGAGGCAGTGTGGCCTGAAAGTTGGGGTCAAATCCGTCCCTCCACCAACGGGAGCAAGTTCACGGTGCCGGGGTCAACGACCGGCGAGCTTCTGGCCCCTCAGGTGAAAAAGAAACACACTTTCCACCTCACTATGAAACCGTTATATTCCCCCAGCACTGTTAAGTAACAGACGAATTATGAAACCAAGTTCAGCAGACGATGGTCCGATTGACCTTCGGGCCACTTCCCCGGGTTGCATTAAAGAGTTGCCTATTCAGCAGCGCTGTCCGAACATCCCAATTGATATGACAAGATTTGTGCGTTGGCAACCAGCCTCCTGACGTCAATAATCTGTTTCCAAATTCCCCCAGGGAAGGTCAGTATGTACACTCCTACCTTGTTCTATAAAGCGGCCAGCAGGTTTGTCGAGACGGATGCCAATTATGATCACACATCACGGCACTTTAGCGATACCGGATTCCAGGTTGACTGGCCAAGGTGGGGCCTGACCTGAGCATCGCGTCCGATGTCGTCTGTGGGTGCGTTGTATTTTGCGAGCACTAGATGGATGTCACAGCTTCTGTCTAGCGATGCAATTGCCATATAACGATGCATGGGGAAATATCAGTCACTGGGCGAGGAGCGGATAATTTAGTCTAGGGCCATTTCTAAGACTTTCAGTTGAGTATATAGCTTGAAAAGGAAATTCCATCCCGCAATGTTCTCATTTGATTGACCAATCTTGGGATGTGAGCAGAGTCATTTCAGACAGTTTTGTGTCACGTGATCTCTATCATCCCCAATCATGCGCCGTTCCCGGCTGTCACCCACTAAGCGGATGTGCTATGAGTCGAAAGGGGAGAAAATCCTCAAGTTTTAATTGTCGAGATTCCAGGTTTAAAATCGATGAATCCTCGAGTCCCAATCGCTGAGGCTTCAAATTGAATCGTCAGGCCGTCAAATTGCAGAGTCATCTAGAACTCCAAATTCAAATTCCTTCAAGCCTGTCACCAATAAACTACCCAAGGGGCAAAAGAGACACTATGCCTTCCAGATCAGATATCACGTATTTCGGGGCTGGTCCCGCTGGACTTCCCACATCTGTGCTTGAGAAGGCCGCGGAGGCTCTGGTCGACTTTGGATCTCAGGGCCTGGGACTGGCTGAGATTAGCCATCGCTCCGCACTCGCCACCAGCATCATTAACGAGGCCAAGGCGGATCTGGCCTCATTTCTTGACATCCCAGATGACTATGATATTATTTTCATGCAGGGCGGAGGCTCTGGCCAGTTCGCAGCCTCGGCCTACAACTTTGTCGGCTCCTGGGTTGCCCGCAAACACAAGGAGATCGTTGGCGACAGCAATGACCCCAAACTAATACAGAAACTGAAGGAGACCGTTGATAAGGATCTTAAGCTCGATTATATTATTACCGGTGGGTGGTCACAGAAGGCATCGGCCGAAGCTCAACGCCTCTTTGGCGAGGAGCATGTCAACATTGTAGCCGACAGCCGCAAATCCAACGACGGCATTTTCGGCACTATCCCGGACGAGAGCACCTGGAAGGTATCAAACGACAGCGCCATGGTATACTACTGCTCAAATGAGACAGTCCACGGTGTCGAATTCCAGGAGTTCCCCAAGTCTCTCGCGCCAGGCCCAGACGGAAAGGGCCCAATTGTCGTGGCTGACATGAGCTCCGATATTCTCTCCAAGAAGATCCCTGTCAAGAACTTCTCGGCCATCTTCTTCGGTGCCCAGAAGAACCTTGGAACGGCCGGTATCACCGTTGTGGTCATCAGGAAGAGCCTGCTGTCGCCCGCACTACCTCAGCCCTCTGCAGCTCTGATGCGGCAGCTGGGTTTGCCTATCCCGCCCATCATTCTTGAGTATGATACCATTGCGAAGAACAACAGCCTTTACAACACACTAAGCATATTTGAGTGAGTTGCCTTCGGCCTGCGATGAGTTTCTTCACTACGGTGATACTAATTACATGCATAGTGTGTACATTGCCGGCCAGGTGCTGAAGAAGCTATTGCAGACGTACTCTGACAAAGTTGAGGGGCAGCAAGCTGTGTCCCAGAAGAAGGCCGCCCTCATCTACGGAGCCCTGGAGGCATATCCTGAGGTCTACAAGGTCTTCCCCGAGAAGACGGTGCGCTCACGCATGAATATCTGTTTCAGAGTCACCAAGGGTGGCGATATCGATGCCGCCGAGAAGGCTTTCCTAGACCAGAGCACCGCTCTTGGACTCACCGGCCTCAAGGGACACAGGAGCGTCGGGGGAGTAAGAGCCTCCTCGTACAACTCCATCTCTCTCGACGGAGCAGAGAAACTTGTCAAGTTCATAAACGATTTCGCAACATCCTAAGATACTCGAGAGTGTACATTGATGGACGACAAGAATAGTTCGTCTTCAAGGACGACGTAAACAAACAGCGACCTGGATCTCTTGAGCCTGCGATTGCATTCAACTGCCGCAACTGAGATCCTGAGTCTTGGGATCATTTCCAGAAAATGAGGTCGGCTGATGGGTAAAAAAAGATCAGTGTTTCAACAGTGTTAGGGAAATTCTAAGAGGAAGAGGAAAAGTTCATCTGTCATATTTGGTGGCACAGAGGTGGGCGAGACGAGATCCAAGAGACTACCTTTCTCAAGAAATCTCACCATAGTCATCCACAGAATCGAAGCCAAAGCTAGTTCACACATTCCCCGTTCAAGGATGTCTTATTGCCACAGGGAAAAAAACAACCGAAAATACAGTCACTCTGTGAGACCATGAACACGGTGGTGCTCAATAGGCAGGTAACTTTTGATTATCTATCAAGCAGTGTGATTGCTCGTCGTAGTAAGCCCATACCACCAATGTCTGTGGCACCACCATTGAGCCTCCTCGAACTTTGATTTCGCGGTATTCGAACATTGAGTCATGCTTTGGTGCATTTTTCACACAAGTTTCCAAAATAGTAATCCGTCACTCGCGCTTGCTTAGGTACCTAGGCTAGGTTGTGAGCAATCTCAACGGTTCCGAAGTACATGGTCGTGGGATCGGACGCGGCGAGCCATGATGAACGGTTAATCTCGACTACCCCAAGATCTTGGCTCCAACGCAAGGAAAGAATGTGAAAGCGTTAGCAGGCTTGGTAGGGGAGTAAACCTAGCGGGTATCGGATGAACCATGGCTTCCATGCTATTCAATCATTCCAGATCTCTTTAGCCCCGGGGTGTGGGGAGTAGATCGTCTCTGATCAAGAAAATGACTATATTGAGTGCTACTTTCCTAAGCTCGCGAACCAGCCACAATTGCTAGTTTAAACCATTCCACGCTCTGCTTCTCCCTTTAGGATAAAATTGTTCAATAATCGACATATACCGCGAATAGTTTGGTTCTCCAACCTCATCCTCACACTCTTTGCTTCCCGTCAGTCTTGAAGTCATCCAATCTTCCCGACCAAGTCTTGCGAAAAGAGTCAAACTTCCACACAGCGCACCTGCGCATCACTGCCCCAAATCGTCTCAATCCCACTCAAATAAAAGTTTTCCAAAGCATCTTCCATTCGATATAATAACTACTGTCCGGATATTTCGGTTTTCTGAAGAATTTGGCGACACCATTTCTCCTCAAGACAACGAAGAATTGTTGCGAATGTCATATTCATGATCGGCTTCGTATGCTCCTCCGGCGGGATCCGAATTGCCTCTTGAATTTCAATGGGAGAGTAATGATTTTGAGCCCTAAGTGGCCGCCCATCACCAATAGCTCCGAGGTTGCACTCCAATTTTTTCACTTTGAGATCGATGACAGCCTCCGAGGCTGTTTTACCTAAGAAGTCAGACCCCGCGTACCAATACCGGTCATTATCGTCGTTTCTTGATTTGATTGCCTCATCCGTCAATCTATCAGTCCCGGGTATGAATTTCATGCGTATTTCCGGGCTATTGTCTCTCCAGGTAGAGACGGCGAAGATGTTCGGCTCAGTAGAGCCTTCGGACTGCTGGCATTCTCGCTCTATTGAATCCTTGACGCTGTCTTCCCCCGAGGTGCTTGGAGATTTGTTGTCTAGAGCACGGGGATTTGAATTCCTAATGTCTGTCCCATGTTGAGCATAGGGGCTAGTAGAACGCGTGCGAGTATCCCCCAGATGTGTAAAAACATCGGAGAGAGAAGCACCTCCCTCATTCTCGACTGAACTAGAGTCCATTATTGTTGGCCCGAACACATCGGAATTTCCAAAATCAGGCTTCTGTAAGTGGGACTTGGTTTGCAAGGCTTTCCAGGTCGACTCAAAGGTCGATGGACGGTATTGCCGCTGACCAGGGGGTCCCGCTGTAAGAGGTCTTGGAGCTCCGGTACCCAAGACTCTGGTCGAAAACTTTGGGGCACCTGTCTGGTATCCCGCTCGCGAAGTGAGGCTAGAGGCCCCCAAGGAACCCGAACTGACCTCATCCTCAGAAAGAAGAACAGGTTCTTGTTCAGCATCGACCAGGGTTGCGGGCTGAACTCTGTAATCTGGTTGAACTACACCCAGAAGATCCCGTTGTGAGATCCTTTTTTTGGCTGGAGATCCAATCGGACGGACCGCATTTGAAGGAGCTACGGGATGGGCTCGGTCAGACGCGCCACCTGTTGGTTGCTTTATTCCACGAAGCAGGGCCTTCTGAGCCCTCTTCTGGTTTGGATTCGGGTAGGACGCAAGATTGTGAAGAGACTTGACAGTCATTCCCATGAGAGGATCCATCCCAAATTCGCTGTCACTGTCGCTTTCTTCCTTTTTATTCTCATCTCCAAGGCTTTCTTCATCCTGCTCGGAACTCTTTTGGGCTGTGCCGTTGGAATTGCTCACTTGTGGTGGCAGGCGCTGATACGGCATTTTTGCAAGAGGACTGTCTTGTTCAACGAGGGGGCTAACGGCTCGATCGTAATTTTGTTGGAGGGGAGAGTACTGCTGAAACATTGGAGCCTGGCATCCCGGAGTCTTGAGAGGCAATGAATTGAGAACAGACTTTGGAAATAGGTCGGTAGCAGTATTCTGGGCCCACTTGAAAGACCGGCCTCGACGAGTCGGTGGCTGGAGCGGCTGAGAAGTATTTGGGTTGTAGATTGTTCCAGCAGTGGTGTAAGTTGGCTGCTTTGATGGTGGCACTGTTGCTCGTGCAATGGCCGTTGACGAGGTGAGACTCGCGGGGGAAGGTCGAAAGTCCATCATCCTTGACGAATAAATCAAATTCAAATAATCCAAAGAAAGATAACAAAAGAAAGGTCGAGTGAGGGACTTCTTTGGGGCTCAGGGAGAAGTAGCGTGTGGTGAATGAACTGGTAGAACCCTTGCAGGAAGGCAGCCGCAAGGTGACCAGGACTGAACGAAGGCAGCGATGAGTGCCAGCTCGACAATCACTTGCCCAGTAATGGCAAATTTTGGTTTTCCTTACTTAAATTTTCCAAGATGTCTTCCCGGGTTTCTTCAACCGGCTCGTTCAGTGGCAGGAGGTTTGGAGAGACGGATGAGGGTAGTGGAAGAAGGTGCGAAGGGATCAAGGCTACTGCCACATCATAGGTTAGCCTAGGTGTAGGTACCTTGGAATCAATGACTCCGGTCCTTTTTGATTGGAGCTCTTTAATTAAAAAGAGAAGTACGTACCTTCCTTTCCAAATTTGGGCGTTTTGCAAGCGCTCAAGCGTGAGGAGAGGCCAAAAGGAAGGAACGTCTTGGTAGCCCGAGGCAGCCACGTGCAATGGGGGGAAACCTGAAATAATCGCTACTTTTCAAATTCTGGCACTCACCAGAATCCAAGAAATGAAAGATGACCAAAATAGGCGGGGGAGGGGTATCTGAAATTTGGGGGATTCAAGAATAAATGGTCAAAATGATAGAAGATTCTGGTGATCCAAAATAGTTATTCCGCGATGCGTCACTTCCGCATGATCTCGCACAGAAAGGTGTTTCTTTCAAAGACTAAAAGAAGAAGAAAAATTGTGAATGGGAAATAGAAGAGGGAGATCAATAGACACCGACCGATTTTATGGCAGGCCCTTTCAATGATGGAGTTGGGTGGTAGACTGGTAGGTAGGCGGGGAGGGCATATGACCAGTAAAGTGAGAGTTGGGTGAGAAAGAGCTGAGCTCAGTGAATCATCAATATGCCGCAATCAAAAGCAAGAAGGGACGATAGGGCCGACAGCTACTAGGCACCAAGGTTCTCAGGCTCAGTGTTCAGTACCTACCTACCTAGTTATTTTGCCAGTTTTGGTAAAGAAATTAAAAGCAAAGCGCAACAAAGCCTGGCCGATTGTAGACCACGACATGCACAAGATACGCAAGTCGACCAACTTGCAAGTAATTTCCCAAGCACACGGTACGCGGCACCTTGAAACAATTTACTGAAATATGTAAAAGATTGTTTTTTTATATTGATTTGAGAAGCCCCAATCATGGTGAATAGCTAACATGTACCAGTCCATAGGAATATCTTGTAAAACCTTAGCGCCTTAACCCCTGGTGTGTGAATGAAAAAATAGACAAAGATGTCAGCCAACCGGGCTAGCCCCCTCCTAGCGGGATGGCCAAACAAAGATACAAAACCTCCTGGGTAGAAGGAGAAAAGGTTGAGGAAGGAGAGAAAAAAGAAAAAAGAGTGAGGGAGTGACTTATCCCTGGGCACAAGGACATTGTTCCTTGTTTCCGGACATGAAGAATCCGGTGTGGGCAAAGCTGGAGCAGGTATAGGTGTTAAGCCCATTAATTTTGAAGAAGGCGCATAGGCCTAGAAGCACCTCTATACACCGATGATGAAAACAATCCCGTCAAGTCAGAAGGTCCCCATAACAACCGTGTCGTGAAAACTGAACGTGGCCCGTTTCGGTTCGTATACCGAGAATTTCGATGTATGTAATCGCCCACAGGGCTACGACGAGTGGAAGGCCAGCTCTCTTATATATACATTAAGAGGAGGATGGCCGGGATACAGAGTTGGCCTCTTGACGTTGGATAAGGAAACTAGACAGATGAAGAAAAATCGGTATTTAAAGTGATCTCCAAGAAAGCGGGGGTATTTGTCGGTCATGAAATTTTAGTCCTGATGGCCTCCCGACTTAGAAGCCGCCTCCAGGATAAGCGCTACCTGGTACCGTGCCTGGTCCGTTCCGTGGACCCGGTCGAGACCCGGGTACTTGAAAGTCGGGGTTATCTAAAAGCATGTCCTGGCGTTGTTGAACTTGGCGACGAGCGTGTTGGTGTGGCATCGGAGGAGGAGCTTCCCATCGAGGATTTACGCCTCGTTGCGATATAGAGGTAAAGTTTGACCTTTCCGATCCGGTAGGACTTCGAGCTCCGTGAGCACGAGCGTCCTCATATGCGGGCTCACCTGCGGGAGG